CCCATAGTACAAATACTACAAATCAACCCAAATTATCATAATTTACTTAATATAACCACACATTCATATAACAAAGTAAAAAATTGTGAAGTATACAGGCATAGAGATGTTTTTCATATATTAAGACACACTTTTTTACTCCAAAAATACAATCACCTCAATTTCTATTGGATCCATTCAATATTTTCCTCGACGAAAAAAAATTTTTATTTATTTACATAATTATTTGAACTTTGAATTACTATTTCAGATTTCTTTTTTACATTATAATTTTCTAAACAATATCTAAGATAAATTAACTGAACAGCTAAGTCTGTTGTTTAGTTCATAATCATAATTACGTCACAAGGCTTGTTTGTGGCAGACCTGTGACGTCACATAGAAAATAATGACGTCACAAGACTTGTGACTTGTGACGTCACACTTAACATAATGACATCACAAGTTTGAGATACAATCTTAAAACATCATGAGATACATCCTTATAGTATCGTATCTCATACCAAGGTCAAAGAGAGAATCCTTATTGACATTATAATAAAAGTATTTAATTTAGTAACCAAGTATCTAATACCTAATTTCCATAGTAGATTTCTAATTTAAAATAACTCTTTATGCCTGTTTCACATTATTTCCCAATAACAAAAATCACACCGTTACCCAAATTAAATAAATAATCAACAAATTTAAACAAGTAATGCGTTAGGAATGCTTACATATTAAAGTTAGTCTTTCTTCCTACTAGATAAGGTTCATTTTATACTAGCACAATCGAAGCGCAATAAGCTCACTGCATATTGAACTTTATGCATTAAGACTAAGATGTAAATTTCTATGAACACAAAAGTATTTACGAGACGATTTTTAGAGAGCAATATGCTATGTAATCTATAATGCATACCTAATTGATTTATTTTGGGATTAAGTAACGCGCTTCGATTCATGTGATAGCAAAAAAATATCTAAGTTCAAATCTCGCTGGCTGTATGACTTATAATCGAAACAACAGCTAAACTTGAACAATATAATGAATGTAAGATAATAAATTCCTTTCCCCTCCCTTCCCTATGAAAAGGGGTAAACATATAAAAATAGTCAAGTTGTCGCTGGATAGTCGACAGGATATTCTAATGGGCTGGGATAAAAAAGTGTCAAAATTATCAATTCAGTCATAAATTACTTTAAAAGCAAGAAAATTAATTCTTGTACAGATTAAATGTCTTTACTGTAGTTGAACTGTAAATTGTTGCAATTCACGTGATAAAGTGTTCATCGCAAACACGACTTATAACTAAAGGCCCCGGTGTGGTTCGAAACGTTTCGAGTAAACTCGTAACCATCACATAAGTGGAAAAGCTCATTATAGCTTTGTAGTTCCTTTAGGTTTATGAATATTAATTTATTATTTTATGCGTTACGAGTTCAGACATTTACTCCAATACAAAAAGATATGTAGGAATGATTAGTAAAGGGATTTTAAATAAATTAAATTTGATCACTAATTAGACTTAGAAATACTTCTAATCTTATGAGGTCGCTAAATAAACCTAAAAAATAAATATTATTACAAAAAAAGTGACGATCAATCAATATTCAACCTTCTGAACTGAGTTTTGAGAATCGATCAATGTAATATCAAGCCCTGAATATACAAAATATCAAATCGTTGTTATACATAAATATAATATACTATGTATTAAAACATTGAAATCATAAAATCTGACAATGAAAACTTTTATATTTTCCATTTTAATAACGATATGTGATCTTAAAATAAATGCAATTTAAAATCTAAAAAAACAATTAATTGTGAAATCAATTTAAAAATGAGTTTTGTTTACTACATTTTTATTTAAAATGTAATAAAATGGTGAATAAAAGTATGATGACTTCTCATTTTTTTATTAAATGTCCTTGTTTTAATTTTATACTTTTGCCTATACAGTGATTTGGAATATCGCGTGAAGTCATTGGTAGGTTCTATACTTTGCTCGGATGCCTTAACTTTGTTTCTTTTTATCTAAGTAAGCAGTAATAGTATAATATCTAAGTAGTAGCAGTCAGCCGCAGCTTAACCAGATTTTACAGATTTTTTAAGATTTTTTTCAAACTTTCTCTACGTACAAACTTTCTCCCGACTTCCACGAATAATTCAAGACCACAAAAATTTGCCAAATTGGTAAACGAAAAGCGAAAAGTGGCATTGATCTGACGGGCTAACTAGATTTTTAATTTTCATACTGTCTATTTACCATCCCTTATTATAGGTATTTGGAATAAGAATTGTTTTCAAAATTTACATCCATAGATAAAATTACAATACACCATACGTAGTTACATGTAAAATGCAATTCAACTGAAAATCGGAAAAGATATGGTCTCAAATTATCATAAAAAGTATTAAAAAATACATAAATACCTTTGATACTGTTTAAAGACGAAAACATACTTACATATCACATTAATTATGGTTAGAGATATATTATTTGTTTGTCGTGCGATACGACACGTAAGTATGGTTGCGCTTTTACCGAACAAAGGTTTACTCTAAGAGATGTGACGTCACAAAATGGCGGAAAATCGAGCCTATTGACAGTTGAACTACACTATACAAGATTTTTTAATAATAATAATGATAAATAACAAATTGAATTAAATAATTTCATAACAACAACAATTATAATTATACTTAATCTACGTGACATAAAAACCAATTAAAAATAAGCGTTGAATATCTTGTTCTAAACTAACAGCGATTAAAGAATTTATTCTAAAACGAATATAGTCTAGTTTCGCTTATCACCGGTTTTTGAGCATATTTGAAACGACTAGCATGGTGAAGCTACCTATTAAATAAAGAGTTGCTGGAATCGAGGCGAGGAGTTTGTATCTTTCATCTGTAAAAAAGAAAAAAGGAAAATATTAACACAAAACTTATCTTTCTTTAGATCAAATAAAAAAATACATACATAAGTTTAGCTTGTTAGGATTAATTAATGTTATAGTATTTACTATGAGACATAATTGATTACAATATATAGTTAGCTCAATTAACTGTTCGAGTTAGCTCGACAAGTTTCAAGCTACGATCGGGGCTCATAATAATCAAACTCGAACAGTTACATGAGGAAATCTTAGAGTTATTTTACTTTAGATTAGTGAATGTTAGCCAAAACTTCTAATTTATCTACATAGTGTAAATTTACAAGATAATGTAGATACGGGGTGTTTTAAAATCAAACTAATGAGATAAGTGCGAAATTTTGTGATGTCCAAACTGAAAATATTTGTTTACCTTGCAACTCAAATAGCATATACTAAAAACAATGCTTCGTGGAAAGGTGAATTTTAGTAAAAAGAAAATAATAATATTGTTAATACTTATCGTTTTGAAATCACAAAATTCCGCACAAACTCGGCCGCAACACGATGTAGTCGGAGCACTTAACACTTGAAATATGATTTGCGTGTAGTACTTATGAGTAAAATCTTAACACAGAAGCTTAAAATCTTAGCGCAAGACATTTGCGCATGTTATTTATGAACATAGTAAATATGCAAATGTTTTGCGCAAAATTCTACTGTATTAGGCATATTTTCGCAGACATTTGCGCATGTTATATATGTAGATGCGCAAACAATTTGCGCAAAACTCTACCCAATTTGGCATGTTTGCGCAAAGACATATATCCTAATTTGCGCAAGGTAGATTGTAGAAATTTCCATAATTACCATATTCCACAAGATTACTCGTTTTAAACTGATTTCTAGGTGATAATATTGAAACATATTAGGGTTCACTTTGTATACCTACCTACTAACTAACAATGTTCACACACAAAAAGCTTTAGTTTTGGGCTCCCCATTTTGAAGAGGGAAAATCATGAAATAAATCCGCCCTGGATAGGGCTAGAAGGGCCTAGATTTTAGGCCTCATTTACGGAAACGTGGTCACATTGCTCATTTTGTTTGTGTTTGCGCAGTCGATGACACGGATCGATGCTGCAATGTATAACGCGTTGCGCCTTCGTAAATGAGGCCTAAGACTTTACTTACTAATTTCCCAAAGAAACGATATACCTAATTAAAATGTATCTATCCTACTAATCCTACTACTAATATAATAAATGGGAAGTTTGTGAAAATGTTTCGATGTATGCTTGTTATTCTTTCACGCATAAATGTGTAATATGTTGACGCGGTGGCTGGGCAACTGGCTGCTGCGCAACGTGTCGCGGGTTCGATTCCCGCACGGAACAACTCTTTGTGTGATCCACAGAGTGTTGTTCCGGGCCTGGGTGTGATGTGCATGTGAAATTGTATGTTTGTAAACGCACACACGACACAGGACAAAATCCTAATGTGGGGCAACGTTCTATAAAAAAAAGCCATCGGCTGCTTTTCAACGCGGGCGAAGCCGTGGGCGGCAGGCAGTGATATACCTACATATTTTAGTCTTTGTACCATATTAAGGTACACGCGCTAATTTAGATTGTCAGATAACTTATTCAACCTTTTTGTTTTAGAGTTTAATGACGTAGACACCTTTATTATGTATTATAAACTAAATTACTATTAAAGTCCTACAATAAAATCAGCAATAAAAGATAAAAATACCAATTTGTGTCATAAAAAAAACTTAATGACTGCAAATTTTATTACTCAATTACCTTTTCTGGGAATCCCCCTTATGATAGATACATAATTTTTATCTGTGCCATTTGCAACTTTATCGATATTGTATTTATTTATTTATTTGTTGAGGTATAAAAATAAAATGTTCCATATTTAATTGGGCACTTTTTAAAATCTTTCAGATAGTTATTTACACCTGTGACGATATTTATAACTTATGTGCAAAAAAACCATGGTTGCATTATGCTACGCGTTGGAAATGTATTTTATTTATGATGAAATTTATATATTTGCATGCGATATCCATACATGCACATATCAAGATGAAATTTTGAAAATACCTTATTAAATTTGAAAATTATCCCTGGTGATAAAATAAGTATGGTTCCTGAAGGTATTTGAGTCAAACCCTTACCACAAAATTACTTTGACTCATGCAAAAATAATGAGTAAAAAATAACTGTTTTTATTAAATAATGAATCATGCGATGTAATTAATTATCATGTGCATGCAAAAACTTCATGCATAGGAATAAAACCAAGAAATTAAAGACCCAGGAGGATAAATAAATATTTTTATTCAATCTTCAAGTTAATCCAGTCTTATTTTAATGTTAGTAACATTTACAATAGACGACACAATATTCTAGCGAAATAAAGAACTAAAATTCTATTGCACTTCTTTGGAAAAGGGTCATATTATTCGTAAAAAAGTAATTATTACATTATTTCCATACTTGATAATAAAAAATATATACTGATGTTCAAATACTAGAGTTCAAAGTTGCTTGCATAGTCTAAAATGATGCTTAAAAAATGTTACTTAAAAAAAGATCTTAAAAATGAAAATTAAAATAATTCTACATAAAGTTGGATTTAAAAAAAATACTAGACCCAATCCATTGAAATATTTATAATCTGTGGCTAGTCTATGGATAATATTTATACACTAAAATGTCTTTTATTTAATACCTTGGGGATCAGAAATACACATAATTTGGCTTTAAGAGTATCGAAGTTATTTCAAATTCATCATATTTTAAACTATTCTAGTACTCTTTTAGCTTTAAGTACATAACGCCTAAAAATTTGAAACATAATTCGAAAATATCACATTTTTAATAATAACAAGATTTATCAACATCCTAAGACTGATCTACATAACAATAACACCCTATATATATTCGTTGTTGTACGTCAATTTGACATTTGGAGCTAATTTTAACCTAGAATTTGCATTCGATTGGCATATTCAAGAAAATCTTTATCCTAATGTTTAATTAGGAACTTTATTACGGCTAGAAGATCAAGCCAGGCCAAAAAGCCGTTGCTAGCCCCAAAGTAGTTTATAACAATAACTACACAGACCCGTGAAGAATCAATTCACGTCAGAGGGCTGGAGATTTTATTGTAAATAGTCTTGAACAGAGCCGGGAGTTTTTCAAAGTTAATTTTCTTTGACAAACTCGCGGCACCCATAGTGAGCGCGGAAGTTAGAAACACAGGTTCAGCCGTCCTAACTCTCTCCACCATTATAGGGTTATCATCGCTATCGAAAATAATTTCCGGATCATTTTCGATGATTTCCTCGACTGACTGCCAATTAGTTTGGACCTTTTTCTCGATAGGGCAGCACTCACACATGCCGTAATCGCACTCCTTTTTGTTCATAAAATACTCAGCGTCGTCTAAGATTGTATGTTCGGTGACGCGTTTTTTAACGGGAACGAAAATTGAAAATTTTCGTGCCGAATACTTTAATAGCTCTTCTACATAGGAATTTACGCCTTCATCGAAATTTTTATCCGATTTAATATCTAGTAGGTTTATATTGTGGTTTTCAAAAAGGGAATTTTTCCTACTGTCCGGTAGAGATGGGACGTCTATGCTTTGTTGAGTCATCATGCTACACTTTCGTTTGGCCTGACCTGTCATGGTGAACGATTTTTTAGTCGTCGCCCAGCCGAGAGACCGCTGTACCGCCATCTTCCATTTTGTGTATCTTGCGTCGCGATCTGGAATAAATATCGTTGTTATAATGACACCACAGAAAAATAACTAAGAATTAAAAGATCAATTTAGAAGTTATGGTCTATTGATGGTTAACTATTAACTATTTATTTATTTATTAACATCACTAACAACTATCATAGCTAATGACTAGATTAGGTATACGTTATTACTTTTGTATTTTGTAAGGCTGATGGCTACACTATCGAATTGGATTACATAGAAAAATTTGTTACTTCTCCGTGCAAAATGATCAATAAACTGTTGCGATTTGTTTTGGGAAATGAAATTACTTATAAGATTTCCTTATTCGTCTTATCGAATAGAATACCAGCGTTGCGTTATTTTATATTTGTTTAATATCGCAGCATATGCTGAGGTAGGAGCCTTTTTGGGCTCGCACAAAGCAGTTGAGTTAATTTTAGTTTTCTGTTTTTGTTTTGTTGTTAGTTAAAATATTGTATGTTTGATATAGATTAAGTAGTTATTTTTTTTATTGTTGTTGTCCTATGCGAGTCTAAATAAATGTTTTTTCTTTCTTTCTTTGTTATGAAAAAGTTGTTTTATTTGATCACCAGAATAAGGTCCTTGAATAAGTCCCTCGTTCAAAATAACGCCCTGAATTATACGTGGTATATCTTGATTAGCCCTGAGTCAAAAGTTGCAGCAATACAAGTATACGCACCATCATCGGTGGTAGTGGGCAGGAAGGTATCGTTGAGTGTAGCGTGAGTCCTCCACTTGTCAGTACTCCAGACGCCGACGGCGCCGCCCGCCACTACGGCCACGCCCAGCGTCGACATGTCCCACGCTTGGGCACGCACTGGAACAAGAGATAAATATTTATAAAAATACTTATCCACTTATAGTTAAGTAACACACAGTTTTATTCTGAAGGCAGGCAGAACTCAAGCGTAACTTATGCGCAAATAATGTGACGTCACGGTTAGCGCGGTGGCTGGGCAACTAGCTGTTGCGCAACGTCGCAGGTTCGATTCCCGCACGGAACAACACTTTGTGTGAACGACAAATTGTTGTTCCGAGTCTGGTGTGGTTTTTTCTAGAATTCACTTATTAATGTTCCCTTTGATCTTAGCTCTTAATAAAATATGATTTGACAAAAATAATTATACTTACACACAGGTATACCAATGAGGTCGGCTTGTAGCTGCATCAAAAGGTCATTCGAGGTCATCCGGCCGTCCACGTGGAGTTTCGCCAGGGGCATGCCGCAGTCTTTGTTCATGGCTTCTAAGATATCTCTGGATAAAGCAAGTATATATTTAGTTTAAATATAAAATATCATGACATTTGGTATACGGTACACCGTCTAGTGATGGCACCCTAGCCTCGTTTACGGAAAATCATTTTTCATACTTAAATATTTTATTTTATTTGATATGAAGGGATAGCGTATGCAGACTTTTCGAAAGCTGTGAAGTTCATTATAATAAGTGTTATGCCTATTTCAGATTATAAGCCCACAACTGAGCAAAGGCTCTTTCTCACACGGAGAAGGTTTGCTCTTACCCTTACTCAATACAGTTTCGTAATATACAGCATACATATCGCCTAGTAAAATATTCTAAGTTTTTATCTTATCATATGAAGCCCTATAATATTTACCTTGTCTGGAAGCACACAGCTTCCAAAGCAGATCTGATGATGTGATTTTTAGTTGTAAATGCAGTCAGACCGCAAATTATTCTGAAAACATAAACATCAACACAAAATAAATAAACAGCAAAACCTTTTAGAAGCAAAAATACCGAAAAACATTGGAAGAGGATAAAACTAAATTAAAATATTTCAATGCGCAAAGTTTGCGCATATTGATTAACAGTTTGCGCAAACTTTGCGCAAGTCGCAAAACGTTTGTATAAACATACCCTCGAGCATCTTTCCTCCAATAAGGCGCGTACAGTCCACTAAAAGCCGGTACAAAGTACACATCGCCAGTAGAGAACACTTGGCCGGCAATATGTTCTGTATCTTGTACAACGTCCTTTATAAGTCTGAGGTTGTCGCGGAGGAACTTCATTGCTCCACCTGCTACGGCTATGGAACCTGGAAATCGGAGATTCGTTAATTTAGTACTCGAAATGGGCTGACTTATGTGATAAATGTTCAAAATGAATTGAAAGAAAATAGTCATGACTTATAATCGTATTTAGCTTTCTTTTGATAGTATCTATCCACAGAAGCAAAATGCAAATACAACATTTGAATTTTGCAAATTTTTCGTACATTATTGATCCGATCAAAGTAGTTACATTCGCCAAACAGTAGTTGTTTGAAACTAAAGCCCAATTTACCACCTTTTATAAGACGCCGACAAACTTATATGGCACATACTTCATACAAATTACATCCTATATTCAATTTTTTTTGCTATCCAGACCTTGTCTTTACAATTGCACTTAATATTATTAAGGTCTATTAGGTGGGGAGTACCATTATATAGGACTGATGATACTTTTCTTCTATCTACTTACCTTCTAAAGCATAAACAGCAGGTGTATCAGGTCCCAGCTTATACGCGACGGTGGTAATAAGTCCATGCGTGGACTGCACACGTCGGGTCCCAGTATTGTAGAGTAAGAAGCAACCGCTGCGGTATGTGTTTTTTGCTTGTCCAGCTTGAAGGCAATTCTGGCCTACGAGAGCTGATTGCTGGTTGCCTAATATCTGTTGAGAATAAGATATTCCATAAAGTATCGTTGAAAACCACCACAATTAATGTTATTGTAAGTATGACTAAGTATGAAGTGTGGGAGAGCCATGCTTCAGCACGATTGGGTCGGCTCGACCGGAGTGATACCACGGCCTCACAGAAAACCGGAGTGAAACAACCACAGCGTTGTGTTTCGCCGTGTAAGTGAGGTTACCGGAGGCCATCCTTCCCCTTCCCCAATCCCTCCTCAATCTCTAATCCCTAAAAGGTCGGCAACGCACTCGTAACTACTTCGTTGCGAGTGTCCAAGGCGGCGCTGATTGCTTACCATCAGGTAATCCGTCTGCTCGTTTGCCGACCTATAACATAAAAAAATGACGCATTCCTACCTATACATGATTTTAAGTAAAAAATCACACAGAATTATGAATAACGCGCTGTATTAGCCTATTTATAACTAAATCCATGAAAAAACTAGTCTGTAGATAATTTAACGTATTGTTTTGATAAACAGCGCCCAACCAAATACATGACCATTACAAAAAAAAAAAAAAAAAACAACCAGGTCAGCCCCGACCGCAAACAATCTTTTGAGAGTGTTTAGAACAGCTATACCGAAGATCTTAAATCCACATCAATCTGTTTTTAACATTCAATGTAAAGTTTACTTACGCCAGATATCCTGATTCCGTCGATAATAGAGCCATCTTTGACAGTGCCGTATATTTCTGAGCTGCTTCTAATTGTGGGCAGTGTGTCCCGATGGATACCGAACAGCCTAGAAATAAATGCACACTTATAATTATTAAAATAACTGAACATTTAGTGTCTACACATTCATTATTATTTAAGAAAAACAACAGTTTTGTCAGAGGAAGGAGAGTCTCACACAATAATGTTAGATTTGCGTAGAAATTTGGTAGACTGGTAGCGCAATAGCGCTAAATGGTTTGCGCAAGTGATTTTTTGATCATAATGTTTTGGTGTAAATCTTAAATGGCTTTTTTTAAAAACCTAGGAATTCTCTAAATGCTCCTGCTTCGTGGGTGCTTTTATAAACATACAAATTCACATACAAGGCTCCCAGACCCGAAACAACAATTTGTGGATCACACAAAGAAGGAATCAAACAGACGATACGTTGCACAGCAGCCAGTTGCCCAGCCCTGCGCCAATCGTCTATACTCGATATTACTTAAATACATGCAAGGGATAATAAACCTTACCTGCACAGTATAGGATCCCAATTCAATGTTTCCAGATTCATAAGGAGTGTTCGAGACGCGTTTGTGACGTCTGTTATGTGAAGACCACCGTGCGGTCCACCGGTCATATTCTGAAAGCAATATTAATGGTTAATTTTCGGTACCGGTTTTTTTCATACAGGATATTTAAATGACGATTTCATATAAAAATACTCGGAAAGAAAAATCTCTATCAATATTAAGTATTGAGAAAAAAAATACAATGTATTTATTTGATTGTATTTTTTTTATTTTGGCAGTAAATTTATGAGAGAATTGTCAGTTTTAGAATAATCAATTAAAGTAAAATATACCAAACCACAATTTCAAATTTATGAAAACCTTCTTGTAAACATTCTTTTTCTAATCTTTTTTTAAAAAACACTAGAAAATCCTAGTGTGGCGCAACGTTTACATTTAATAAAAATAAATAAAAACTCACCCAAACAATCCACGTATCAACAGTTCCAAATAGCAGCCTCTTATCCCTACTAGCTCGCCTAACGGCCTTAACATTATCCTTCAACCAACGCATCTTCAAAGCACTGAAATAAGGAGATATGGGCAGTCCACAAATGTTCTTAAAGTAATTCTTGTTACGGTCGGGGATTTTGGCAAGAATCGCGTCGACGGTGCTGTCTGTTCGGATGTCGTTCCATGCTGGAATAAAAACAAAAGGTTTTAGTTAATTAATAAGAAACTACAACAAATGCAAGACACAAATCGCCTTGGAAACTTCAGAATTCGTTTTCGTAGTCGTGTAAAATGTTCTAATTTGATATATTTACTGTTTTCGGTACCTATAGCATGTTCCCAAAACGCGATATTATCCAATTATACATGTAATTATAGTGTGCTTTGTCTTTAATTGTGCTACAAAATACTCATGGTAAATTTAATTTTTCATTTGGGATTTAGAAATAAAATCCACCAGTAAATTCTCTCAAACGAGTATTCAAGTGTGGGAGAGCCATGCTTCGGCCACACAGAAAACCGGCGTGAAACAACCACAGCGTTGTGTTTCGCCGTGTAAGAGGTTACCGGGGACCCAATCCTTCCCCACCCCCAATCCCTCCTCAATCCCTAATCCCTAAAAGGTCGGCAACGCACTCGTAACTACTCGGTTGCGAGTGTCCATGGGCGGCGCTGATTGCTTACCATCAGGTAATCCGTCTGCTCGTTTGCCGATATATTACATAAAAAAAAACGAACGAAACACTAAACAAGCGTTATTTTACGCTGATTTATTGTGAGGCCGTGGTATCGCTACCGTACACTTTATAAGTACTTCTCATTGTGCTAAAAAGACTTTAACAATAATCAATATATATATTTGTTTACCTATAGCAGCATGCAACGGCTCGCCAGTATATTTATCCCATGCTATCGTTGTCTCTCTCTGATTTGTGATGCCCAACGCTACGATATCGTCTTTGGTATATCCTGAAAATAAACATTAACATTATTATACTTAGTAAATATAATAATGATATTTATTATCTGCGGAAAAAACATATATAAAAAATCTAAGATTAATCTTATGTACTTTGGGTGAACAACTTTAAAATTTTTGTACTAAATAGCATTTTTTATATATTTTTTTTTTTATAAATGTTGCCCCACATTAGGATTTTCTCCGTGGGAGGGTGTGATGTGCATGTGCAATTTTATGTGTTTACAAACATAAAATTGCACATGCACATCACACCCTGACCCGGAACAACAATCTGTGGATCACACAAAGAGTTGTTCCGTGCGGAAATCGAACCCGCGACACGTTGCGCGGCAGCCAGTTGCCCAGCCACCGCGCCAACCGTGCAGTCAAAGTATTAAAATTGTAAGGTATTTAAAACCTACAATTTACAGTATGCGATGAAAATCAATAAAACATCACAACACTTCAATTATCAACATGCTAAATTAATTTTGATTTAGACGTAGTAATTTTATTAGCAATACAATTAACAGATTCATTGGACATTTTCAATCTAATATACACATACTTGCTAAAGTAACCCCTTTGTAATTTGTATACTAAAAATATAATACACCATATTATATGTTTTCAGAAAAATAAGTCGTGAACAAGATGCGCTTGCGCACACTTAGTGTCTTGTTTCAAAACTAGCATTACGTCTGTGTTTTCTTTCGAGTCATACCCGAACCAGTTGGAATATTTAAATAAAAAGTATCCTGTGTCACGACAAACCTGAAAGAGTTTTGGAAGTAGCAATCAGTTCTTTAATTTTGAAATCACAATAAAACATCTCAAAATAATTAGGTTTCTCTAAACGCAACTTTAAATAAACAACACTAGGTCACAAATAAAGTAACAGTAGTTTGAACTTTGATTGTTATTAACGTATTCGGTGACACTGATACAGTAAATGTATGGTATCAGGTCATTCCAATGCCAGAGTATTGATTTTAAGTCAATTATTTATCCTTTGTATACAGTATCATGTCGAAGAACCAGTTATCTACAGTATCATGAGAAAATAGTATTAATAATTACGATTAAAATCTGTGTTTACTTCTAGTCTTAAGTATAAAATAGTGCCCAACAGTTTGCAATAATAGGCGTGGTTTTATTTATTTAATTTTTTTTGAGGGGAAAATCGTCTATTTTTTTCTCTCGCCCAGGTTGAGCGGAGAGGGAGTATCAGACACTTACTGACTAAAAACTTTCAGGTCGAGGTCGCGGTAACATATTGCGCTAGCCCCACAACCCCGGTAGAACATCAGTCCTGAAGAGTCCCACCTTTGGCAGTGTCAGCGCAGGCAGCGTCTCGCATTTGTTATTTGGGTTTGAGTACGATGAGTGGAAATTCTACTAAAGAGTTAGGTAAAGACTAGTCGCCAATAAACCTCCACAGACGGGGCCCAATCGAGCCTATGTTTAGTCGGGGTTACAGGGCAAGCGCAATACCGCGGCGTCGGCCTTGCACAGGAGAAGGAAAGGAGGTTTTTAGTAGGCAAGCAAGACTGACACTCCCTCTCGCTTTACTTCGGGCGAGAGAAGTCATTTCATGATTTTTCTTCCACAAAAAAGGTAAACATAATAAAAAACAGTTTATTTATACGTCCATCCATTAAGGTGAAATGTATGCTCTTTTAAGCAGTAAGTATACTAGAATATTTGTCATTATATCTAACTTAGCAAAAGTGTTAGAAATTACTGTTTGACAGACCTAACTACTTCAATGAAACAATGAAACAATGAACAATGAAACAATGAATTTATTTTTGCAAATAGGCCATAAAACGGCACTTTTACACGTCAATTTATATGTGAAAAACTAGATGAAGCCGGCATTTCCTATCTGACTACTCTGAGAAGAAATGCCGAAACAAACTCAGAGGTCAGTCTCTTTTCAAGTCCAGACAATGTAAAAATAACATAATGTGAGAGAATCGTGCAAGTTCATTCTGTAGTGGTCTTTTGAGGAAAGAACCACACCAGTTTAAGTGGACCCGTTCTGAAGACAGGCACGCAAGTGTCAGTTTGCAACCAGTATAGCTAGTGCTGCTGAGTTGTCCGACGAACAATACCGATCTAAAGAACATTTGGGTGGGTCGCGCAAGTACTCAAACTGTTAGAACGCAGATAACTGGTAATCAAAAAGCACGGCAAGTCTCACACGGTCCTTACACTAACAATAATATAAAATAATAAAAATGTCAATAAATAAATAAAAAAAAATGTCAAATAAAAAATAAAATGTCACAATAGGTGATTATGTCATTGTATAAAAAATAAAAAATAAACGTAATGTCAAATTGTATATAAAATTGTAACTTATGTTACAAACATGTCAACATGACCTGTGCAGACATTACAGCGGCTCATTCCCATGCCTGACTATCCTCTAAGTAGTCTTTTATTTTATAAAATGCTTTACAGCAAAGTTTAGCCTTTATTACACTTTTAAATTTATTGAGGCTCAAATTTTGAATATCGCTAGGAATTTTATTGTAAAAGCGTATACATTGACATCTAAACGAACTAGTTATTTTCTGAAGCCTGGAGGCAGGGACAACATATTTGTTTTTCCCCCTCGTGTTAATATTATGTATATCACTATGCTTCTTAAATAAGCTTTTGTTTTTATGAGCGTGAATTACATTTTCATAAATATATTGTGAGGCAACCGTCATTATCTTAGTTTCCTTAAATAATTCTCTGAGCGAATGCCTCGGACTAAGATTATAGATTGATCGAATAGCCCTTTTCTGCAGAACAAAAATAGACTGAATGTCAGCAGCATTCCCCCACAACAAAATACCGTATGACATGATGCTGTGGAAATAACTAAAATAAACTAACCGCGCTGTATCTACATCTGTTAAATTTCTAATTTTTTTAACGGCATATGCTGCAGAACTGAGCTTCTTCGACAAGCCATCTATATGAGGGCCCCACTGGAGCTTAGCGTCCAGGGTTATACCTAAAAAGACAGTTGTATCTACAGGACTCAACTCCTCGCCCTTGACAAGCACACTGGTTTTTACCTGTTTAACATTTGGTGTTGTGAATTTAATACATTTAGTTTTAGTTTCGTTTAGTAATAAGTTATTAACACCAAACCAGTGAACTATTTCTGAGAGAGCACTGTTTACATTGTCAATAACTAATTGTCGTCGTCTGAGTTTGAATAATAGTGAGGTATCATCAGCAAACAGCACTATCTCGTGTTTATCCCTTACAAGGTAAGGCAAGTCATTAATATACATAAGAAATAAAAACGGGCCGAGAATAGAACCCTGCGGAACACCCATCTTCACAACAGACCCGGCAGAAACCACTCCGTTTACTTCAACTCTCTGAACCCTATTACTCAGGTATGAGGTAAGAAGGTCCAGAGATGCACCTCTTATTCCGTAATGGGATAGCTTCCTGATCAGTGTATCATGAAGCACACAATCGAACGCCTTGGATAAATCACAAAATATTCCCAAAGCGTCGCTTGAGTCCTCCCACGCGTCGTAAATGTGATTAAGAAGTTCAACACCGGCATCAGTTGTTGAACGACCCCTTGTAAATCCGAACTGTTTCGCATGTAATAATTTATTTCTATTAAAAAATCTTTGCATTTGATCTAAAATATTTTTTTCAAAAATTTTACTGAACGTAGGTAGCACTGAAATAGGTCTAAAGTTAGTGGGGTCAGAAGTACTACCTGATTTAAATAATGGAATTATTTTACTACATTTCATAAGATCAGGAAACACACCACAGTCAATACAGTTATTAAAGATTTGAGCTAATACAGGTGCTACAATAGTTATTACAGAGCTTGTAATATACACAGAATTGCCCCATAGATCTGCAGTCTTTTTGTTATTCAAAGTATTAAAGATTTTAACAATTTCCTTGTTATCTATGTGCTCGAAGGAAAACCCTGAATCGCAAGCTACAACATGTTTTTTGAGTAAAGACTCTGCAACAGTGGGAGATGAATTCAGTGACTTAGTAGTGGATACAGGAATGTCGGAAAAGAAATTTTCAAAAGCAGTTGCAATTTCTACATCCGCTTTTATTAACTTATTATCAATTACAAGACTATGTTGATTTATTCTCTTTTTAGACCTTCCTGCCTCACTGTTGATAATATTCCAAGTGTCTTTGATAACATTGGTACTGTTCTTTATCTTAGAGCTTAAGAATAATGATTTAGCAATAGAGCAAACCTTTTTGAATAATTTAGAATAGTTTTTTACATATTCACTGAATTCAACAGTGTTAATATATGTCCGCTCATTATAAAGCTCATAGAGGCGCTTTCTACTCTTATTGATACCAGTGGTTGCCCAATCACCGAAAGACGCATTGCTATTAGCTGGTATAGTTTTATCTGAAAAAGTAGACTTAAACTCTGTTAGGTACATTTTAAAAAACTTATCATATAAAGTGCTAGAATTATTATAATTCAACAACAAAGGCAATTTGTTGCTGAGTTTAGCTTTGAAAAATTCAATGCGTCTTTTAGTCTTCGAATTAACTGTGATAAATTGTTTTGATAATATATTAATTTCTTTTGTTAAAGAAATTAACTGACCACAGTGATCGGAATCAAGTACTGAAATTATTTCTTTGTTAACTGGCACAATGTCAGTATAAATATTGTCCAGGCAAGTGGCACTAGTGGGTGTTATCCTAGTTGGCTCCAGAAACAAATTCGCAAGGTTGTATGAAGAAAATAAACTTACAATTTTTGTGCTTAAACTACATTTTTCTAATAAATTTATATTAAAATCACCACATGTAATGATGGATTTCTTTGAATTTGTAAGTTTACTTAGAACTTCATCCATTACTGTTTCAAAACAGTCATACAAACCAGAAGGTGGTCTATACACGCTTAATACAATAAACCGCTCCAATTCCACACAGGCTATTTCAACAGTACGCTCAACAGAGTAACTAACTATATCTTTACGATCTTTGAATTTGAGCTGGTTACTTATCAGTATAAGTGACCCACCATGTATAGCGTTTTCTCTGCTGAACGAGCTACCAATCTGGTGCTTACCAAAATTGAACATGAGCTGATGGGGTTTTAGCCAATGTTCAGTAATACACAAAATATCCACATTATTACAATTTAAAAATAACTCTATTTCCAATTCTTTACTCATAAAGCCTTGAATGTTTTGGTGAACCAGATTAATAACCTTATTACTGTTTAATTTGCAAGAGTTTGTCTCTATTGTCTTATTTAATAATTTAAATTATTATGAATGTCAGTATTAGGTGACTCATTATGAATGTCAATATTTTTTGGTTGCTCAATAGGAGTAACCTGTTTAGCCAAGTTATTGGCTGATATATTAAAAAAATATGATAGCGACATTGCTATTTGTCTTAAATAATATTTTGAAAGATAGTACCTATCTTTTGTCCTATATATATTAAGACCAACATAATTGTTGGTGTCTATGAAGTGAATATTAGTATTAATACTTAAGTTATACAATGTAGTATTAATTTTATATCTACTATTGTTTTCTTCCTGTGGCAATGATTTTATATAAGGCAATGCAAATATAATTATCTGCTTTAAATTCAGTTTGGCAAGTGAATTATGGAAATTGATTAAACTTTTTTTATTAAGACTACCTCTGTTACCACACATAATGAGGGTAGAATCTGGATTAAATCTATATTTATTAATTTTATCCAAAATATTACCAAAACTACAGCCGGGCATACAGTGATTAAATGTAGACTGTCCAGGTAATTCATTTGTCAACATTGAACCTAAGTTCTTTCCAATCTCATCACTGAAAATGACAATATTATGATTACTAGGATTACAATTATTAAACAGTAAACCTCTACCATGAGGTAAGGTGGTCTCACATGCTGGCACAGAAAGAGCAGGCAGTATAGCATCAGGAGTGCACTTCTCACACTGTTTCTCCTGCGAGCTTACCAACTCATTCATTGCCAACATGTATTCCCTCATCTGCCTTTCTGAAGCACTATATTTATTAGACATTATTTCTAACTTTGATGTTAATTGTTCTAGTTCTGACTGCAGGCTCTGGGTATCAGTTTCATATTTCCTAGCACTTTGATTTAATTTTGATGAGTATAAACTAAGTTGTTTCAGAAGCTGGAAACGTTCTCTATTTAATTTTACATTTTTTATGAAGAACTTTTGTCTCTTTACTAATCTGTTTGTTTTAGTTATAAATTTACTGATTCTTATGTATTTCTTAAGCTTCTTATGACTAGAACTAACAAATTTCACTGGGTGACATGCATCATTATCTGTAGTCTGATTTGAAGTTAATGGATTTAAATCTAAATTTACATCACTATATTGTAGTTGAGAAGCTTGGGCTGACACCAATTCACTGAATAAACTATTATTCAAGCCGGCCGTGATGTTTAAGTTTAATATTTCTAGTTCAGAAATTTGACTGTTGGCCTCATGTAGCTGTTGTTTTAGTAGCGTTTTGTCATTTAAAGTGGTTTCATACTCCTCGCTACACTGCTTGAATTCGTCCACAACGAATTGGAGCCTATCCCGGGCCTCAATGGCTTCTGTGTGTTGAATGTTTAACAGAGCCATTTCACGTTTCAGCTTCTTGTTTTGGTCCAAAATAAGCAAGAATTCCCTTCATCAAACCTTAAGCGAACGCCGGCGTTCGTGTACCTATTGTTATTCTATTACAATTAAAAGCTGTTTACATCAGCTTATTGCTAATGTAAGTGATAGACTTTGTTCGTCGACATGGCCTTAGAAAAAAATACACATTTACAAAAGTATTTTATATGAGATTTTTTCTGCTTCTACGCAAGTTAACAAAAGGTTATGACCGTGTATTATGATATGACGTAGTCGAGCAGACATAATAATATAGGCCTCAGTTCTGACGTCATAAACAATAGAGATAAGAAAAATATTGAAACATTACTATTTATCGTATTTGCTTATATTCAGTACATACGTTCCGTATTAAAGTTATTAAGCGTCTGCTTGAAATTGGGGTACATGACGATACAATTGTAAGATTAAATTAATCTAAAAAGGTCTAGGCCACCAAAGGTTATATTGTTTTTTTTTATTGTGTATTAAAACTAAAAAAGCAGTCTTTATTATTATTATTATTTATTACTATAATTACGATAGTGTAGGTATATTTTTTCTATGATATCGCATTATAACATTTTATAATAGAACTTTCTGTTGGCATTTAAACACAATCCTACAGGATTATCAGGGTAAAAAGTAACCTATTTGGTAGATTGATCTAATTAATGCAATTAATTTAGCGTCCAAAACCGATGCAAACCAACACAAACTATTAACCTATTTACAAAATTCATATTTAGCTCTATAGAACTTTAAACAAATGCTACTAATATCATAAACTTGAAAGTGTATAAAGTATGTATTATGCATGAATGTTTGTTACTTTATAACGCATAAACTACTGAACGATTGCGAATGAAATTAAGTTCAGAAAATAGATTAAAGCCTGGAATAAAAAAGTCTACTTTTCGAAAACTGCTGGCAAAAACTAATCTTACCTAATTCCACCAATTGATCGATGGCATTCTCCGCACACAGCTTAATGTGGTGAATAATTTCTAGAGGATCCTGTTCTGACCATCCTTCGTGGGGCTGCACCTCCGTCTTATCCATCTGGTAGGCCACCAGCTCATCTGATCGCCCAGCTTCATATATCTGGAAGGAACAAAACAATAATGAGATCAAAACTGATTGATAAAATTCGATTCTGGTTTACTTGAACTGCCTAGCCAAATGGCTATGAATGGTTTATTTTTTTTGTTATATTCTTCGATCGGCAAAGCACTATTGACTATAATACTATTGTTCAGGATTTTAGTAAAGGTTTTGAAAATGGAGGGAGATTGTGAAAGAGAATGTGAAGTAGGACGGGTTCATTGTTGAGGTTCCTATCCTCAACAATGAAGAAGATGAAGCAAGACGGAGACGATTTTCTAACACTTTTCAGTAATAGCACAAAGTGATAACAATAAGCTCAGACTCAACTGGGGAAAACTGGATGTGCATTTTGATGTGTATTTGTTTTCAAACGAGCTGACGCATCAGCCGATGCAGCAATCAGCACCGACCATGGATACCCGCAACACCAGAAGAATTACTAGAGTGTTGCCAGCCTTTTGGAGTTAAGGGTTTCGGAGATTTAGAGAAGAAGGATTGGGCCACCTCAGTCACAAGGAGAAACACAACATCGTGGTTATTTCACGCCATTTTTCTGTGAAGCCGTTGTATCACTCTTGACGAGCCGATCCATTCGCGTCTAAGCATGGCTCCCCAGACTTGTTTACCTATGCATTTATCTATTCCTTTGAGCATTAAAAAAGTTTCGGCATTTTGTCATTATTTTCGTTTTATTAAGTGCCTACTAGCATTCCAATCATTACGAGGCATTACCTTATCAAAAAAGTCGTAAGAGAAATTTGAAACACAAATTATCAATCGATAATTGCCAACTCATTACCAATAAAAAAAAGGAAAGGATTTGTGCCATTATCTGATAAAAAATGAATTGTTACGTTACAAATTATATAATTATTTTCCATTCATTTATCAGACAGACAATTCTAGATTTAAATCAGTATTATATAATTAATTATAATGTTACCCGCGCAACGTTGTCCCAATTGTAAAACTACATTTCTTTAAGGATTTTCTTATACATAAACAATATTCAAGCTGATAAAGGTCCTCGCGCACCAGCCGCCGCAGTAGGCGACACTCCGGGCGTCGGGGATCGAACTACGGTCTCTGGCCACCGTAAGTGCTGGTCTGTGGTCGGCGAGTAAGGGTAGCTCGTCCCAAGACCAGATCCAGACGCGACTGTACTTACGGCGCGTAGCATTCCGCGCGCGCCACAAAGAGCCAATAGACGCTTTCACAAATACTTAAAGACAGACAGACCATTTCTTTTTTGTCAGGGGAAAATCATCATCAAATGACTTCTCCTGCCCTAGGTAATGCGAGAAAGAGTGTCAGACTCTTACTAATTAAAAACTCCCTCGTTCCTTTTCTTGCTCTGGGCCGAAGGCACAGTTACTCGTTGGGCTTAACTTGCAGCCCCGGCTATAACGACAGACCCGGAACAACAATTTGTGGATCGGACAAGAGTTGCCCCATGCTAGAAATGTACGGCCCGCGACACGTTACAAAGCGGCGTATTGTCTAGCCACCGCATTAAATATACTGCCAAATGTACTAAGTAAGATCTCCTTGAAAATATTACGCAGCAACAAAATTCGGTTTATACTGGTCAAATATCTCGATTTAACCAGTAAATATGATCAAAGTTCACATTTGATTAAAAATGTTATAAAAACATTTTAGTTCACTTGTAGTTTACGGCCCCGCCTTATATCTGTGACCTCGATAATATATAATTTTAATTGTATTAATGTCTGTGCGTTGTGTACCAAGTTAATAACATTTAATAATATTATCAGTACCCCTGACGTACTTGTACCTTGTCTGGTTTTAGTAAATATGTTACTTTTAACATATTAGGTGAGCTAATGAAAACTGATGCATTTTATAAAAACCGGATAATATAATGTCATCATGATTTTTGACAACTTTTAGCCCACTTACTTTATTTTGTGAGAAATGAAGTATACTATGGCCACCATCCCGAATAAGGCTGAGTCAATGCCATAAAGCGTCAAATAGGAATTTAAGTAGGCCGTATTCATAATGCTTTTCACTGATGTGAAATATGTATGGGTGGCTCAACCAGAGTGATACCACGGCCTCACAGAAAACCAGCGTGGAATAACCACAACGTTTTGTTTCGCCGTGTGAGCGACGTTACAGGAAGCCCAATCTTTGTTCCCCTTATCCCTATATCTCCGAAACCCTAATCCCTAAATAAAAGACCGGCAACGCACTCGCCACTTCTCTGATGTTACAGGTGTCCATGAACGGTGTGGACTGTCAACCATCAGGTAATCGGTCCACTCGTTTTCCGTCCCATCACATAACAACAAATACGTTTTATCTTTATGTCATAATAAACCTTTCTTAATCCCCAAAAGAAGTAGCATGTAGGCAGAAGGCATTTTTCAATCCAATATCCATCCACATTTCATCAGTTACTGTTATAAGCCTAAACTAGTAGGGTTGTCATTCAATCTGTACAATACAATAGATAACTTACCACAAATCTAACAGTCTTGGTGCCATCATCGATAACGCCGACCAGCGGCCGCTTAGGGCCTTCCCTGACTGGCATTGTGCTGCCTGAAAATAAAAGAAAAAAACTATTAAATTAAAAGAAATAAGCCACGAACATTATATTTGAGTCATAACGTCGTCAATTTGGAACAGGAAAGGGGGCAAACCGATAGATTTTGACAACCCTACATAAAATAGTACATTCGAAAAAACTTTCATAACCGAGAAAAGTATTTTACGTTTTCCTTTTGGCTAAATTCCAACTAGATTTCTGTGATATACGAATCTTAAGCCAAATATACCATTACCCGATATGTAGGTAATATTTTTTGAGTGGAGCTACGTATTGTTTTCAGGCCTTAGACGCAAGAAATATCTACAAAGTTGCCGTTTATACAAAAAACCGATGACGCAAACATAAATATTTGTTTGTCTATACTAATATTATAAAGAGGGTAAAATTTGGAAGTTTGTATTTAAGGGGTAATCTTTCGAATGCTGGTCAGATTGCCAAAATTATTTCATAGGCTATAAAACATCACGATACGATCAATTGGAGCCGAGCAGCGGTTGACACCGCGCGAGAGTAGCAACTTAATAATATTCTTACTAGAGGTCTGAGTTCAATAAAAATAAATAAATCGTCATACAAGTATCAAATCAACAGATTTAGAAAATGTTTTTATTTTCCTTTTTAAAGAAATAATTGAAATTATTTCATCATAAATTGTTATCGCAGGCTAGCGAAGCAGATTAACCAAAGGTTAATACGACTATGTATTATCAATACAGTTGCTAAGGTTAATTATAGACGGGATTAAAAACTGTCATGATCTCTACGACTTATAATTTTGCAAACAAATATGTCGGTACTTCTTTACTCGCTTTTATAAGGTCAGACAGACATCTGAGGTGAGGTACCGCGGCCTCAACCAAAGGAACAGTGAGGTTTTAAGTCAGTAGAGTCCGACGCTCTCTCTCACCTTACCCTGCGCGGGAGAAGTCATTTGATGAGCAAAAAAAGACAGGCTCTGAGGTCTAGGTTACAACACATATTACCCTAAGCTATTGTTTTCAAATCAAGCGATCAAGAGCCATTTTATCTACCACGAAAATTCTCTAAAGAAAATATTTTTCTAGATATTTTTTGTCCAAAACATCATTTCAAATCGCACTTAAGACCAGCAAAAAATTATAAAATAGTACACATAGGTAGGAAGGTAATAATATATACAAAAACTAGCTGTACTCTCGCGCAGTTTCACTCGGTGCTCGGCTCCTATAGATCGAAGCGTGATGTTTTATAGCCTAGCCTATAGCACCCAGGAACAGTGTAGCTGTCTATCAGTGAAAGAATTTTGAAAATCCGACCAATGGTTCCAACCATTACCCCCAAACTTACAAATTTTTCCTATTTATAATATTCGATAGGTTCCTAAAAACTTCTTTTTTAAACGCTTTTAATCCTTTGGAGGAGTTTTTATAACGAAAATTTTCCACAAACAAAAGATAACAATCATATATTTATTCATTCTTCGCTGAGGAGATAAGTACATTAATTATCACAAATCCTTCATATACCTACTAATATACCAATTAAAACTAATCTTTATACTAATTACAGTATCTTGGAAATAAACACGCGAATGACTAAGATCGTATGAAAGTATTAAAGTAGATAATACAGTAACTAATACCTAATTGTAAAAGAGAATTAGTTGAGAATTAATATACTTATACATACTCTAGGGAAATAACATACAAGTACTTTTCTATAACAACCATAAAGGTAGAACCTTGTATACTATCTTTATAGTCTGTCTTCTTGAAGATTGCAACGCGAGTCACACACTCGCCCCAATTTTAACACTGTTTAGTGACTGTTCTGAGTGATAGTAAAGTATGAAAAGAAAAAAATAGAGCACGGATAATTGTTTCTTATATGATACAACGAATCCTGCAACATAGTGCTTTATTTACAAACATTTCACATACATGGATAATGGTGTACATAGACTACATAAATTCAACTGTCCTGAAACCTACCTAGATTCTAATCCGAAATATTGTCTAGCAGTGATTGTTTGGCGATAAGAATGTCCTTGGACCTACCATTCATATATTTGATAACCGTTTTTTGTTTACTTCATTAAAGTAAACAAACATGGCGTCACACGTACCTGTGACCCATAGAGAATAGAACAAACGAATTAGAGAAAAAATAAAACGTCAAAAACCTTTTCTTCTGACACACCGCGTTGGCTTCATCGATATGTTTATTCAAACTTATATTTATATTTGTACATAAAGATATTAAATAAATAAATATTAAACAATTAATTAATTCCATATTCCTTATTCCTTAGAATATCAAACCTTTTTTGGCAATAGAGCATAGACTTCACAGGGCTGGCGTGTAAAAAAACTGTACAACACCGATCGATATTCCGTGGGCGGAATTTGACGCTTCAATTCATAAAATGTTTTTTTTTTTTTCGTTATCTCGAAATCATTTTTGCATGAGCTTTCTATAACGTGACATCATGGGTTTATCCCTGAAGGATTAGTCAGAAATATAATATATTTACAATGATCCTATTTTTCGCTAATTTTGCCATCAGATTTAACGGTAACTTATTGTCTGTGATAGCTTTTGACTTTAACCTGTTTAAAAAAGAAATCGTGGCATGTCCTCTGTTGTTTCGGGTGTTCATGGGTGAATTATCATCAGGTTATCCACAGAAATAGAAAAACCAGTATCTTACTTCTATGAGACTATCCATTCTGCTCGTTTGCCGGCCTATCCCATAAAAAATAGAAATAGAATTTACATTATGGAGTTTCCGAAAACCCTTAACATCAAGACCATTTTACGCTTGGCTACACTAGATAGTTATAAAACATGGCCGTGATTGGTATAGCTATTTCTATTTATATGATAGAAGCCTTAGCTATTGTGATTGGTCGGCATTTACCCCGAACAGAATTGTGTTACGCTAAACGTAATATACTGTGCATTACACATACATATCGCATGTTTAATAGAAAACCGAACTAACTCATAAAAGAGGGTATTTCAAAAATTAACCTTATTTTTGAAACCTAATTTTTAAGATTAAAATACCTTTTTTTTAGTTAAGCCCTTTTTCTATTAAGTATACGATATAATTAAGTATTATTGTATCTGTTTGAACAGTTTTATCCATACAAAACTATTGTGGAAACGACCCATGCCAGATAATATAGACGTCTCCAGCAAAACAATTCACAAATATCAATAATGATTTTTTCATTTTATTTACTACTCGTGACCGCTCCCGGCTTCGCGTCAATTCGCATGGTTGCAATGCTGATAACGAAATTTCTCCACTATATAATGGATATAACTATAATATATATAAACCTTCGTCTTCAATCATCACTGTACCTGTCTATTAAAAAACATCGCATCTTAAAAAATCCTTTGCGTTTTTTTGAATATTTAAGCATACCTACATAGGAATATAGGGATCGAGAAGGCGACTTTATTTTTTTCCATGTGATATCATTTTCGAAACAATTTCGTTAGTACAGACCTATGAATGCACACTCGTTAGGTAGGTACAATCTATATCTATAACACTGAATCCTCCAATCTCTATAAAGCGACGAACAACAACCTAAATTAATTTATGTTTTAGATCCCAATCAATTTACAACTGCAGTGCTAAGTAATAATAATAATAATAACTGGCTTGAGTGGAGATTCGCAAGAGTAGGAGTTGAAGGAGACTCGGGGGAAGGATGTATCTCAGTAAGATGCTGGTAGGGGTCTTGACCGTACTTCCGGGATTGCTCTGATAGCCGTGGGATACCTCTCCTTCCCCAAGCAGCTCAACGTATGTTGCCCCCTTGTCGCTACATGCTAGCGGCCGTTTCCGGGGGCCCATTAATTGAGTTTGCCAGTCACCCCCTGCCTGTTTATCCGTATGTATCAATATTGGTCAGGGGCAGGGGCCATAGTATTTCCATAGTTATCATATTCACCAGTCCATAGCAACCCATACCCATAACCCTTTAAATTTTTACCACATTTCGCAATAGTCCTGCATCAACCGGGGATTGTCCTTGGGTGCACTTTCATAGTGCATACAGGGATAATTGCCGGCTGATGTCCCATTTCACTTATATTAAAGTTGTTCAAAGGGCCTCTGCGAGTTGGCTTCGGCCCCTCGTACGCCTTCCAAAAGTCCGGGACCCTGTGGTCCCGTGAGTGGAAAGGAACACACATAATAATAATAAGCCCCCTAAACAACCACACGTCCTGATCGACCATCTGATCACGTGGGGGGCGGACACACGATTTATGAAATTACTGGCGTGGCTAACGTGGCTCTGGAAACCCATTAAAAATGGAGACTCGCTCGAGAAGAAAACGTATAGGGCCGCTGCCCGGGGGCGATCGCCGGGGCACACCTGGAGCTGACGCTGGGTGTTTCAGTATGCGAACCGTCAGCGGTGAGGAGTTGAACAGGCGGGCCCTCACCGACAAAGATACTACAGCCGAACTTAATGACGACGGTGACACACAATCATATAGATCAAATACACCACTGGAGCCGTACAGCCCCAGTACCATATCATATACACCATCCAGAACATCCTCTCCATCCACACCGTCGTCACCAGTTTTACACACCGTTGCACCTACTCCAACCATGGATGTTGCGCGGAGGGTTAATGCCTTTTTACCCGCGTCCACCAAGGCTGGAAAACCTAGAGTTCGCATGAGATGGAGCAAAGACGTTAATATATTCATCATGCGGACTTACTTCTATATAACAAAACTAGAAACTGACATGACCATCTATAGAAAAGTATTGCATGAACTCTTCTGTCGACAATACCCAGAAATTAACGTATCTGAACAACGAATTTCAGACCAAAGAAGAACAATAATTAGAAATAAACTATTATCCCAAGATATAATCGACCAATTAAAAGAAGAAGCACGGCAACGATTAGAAACAGAATCGGAAAATAATCATAATACAGCGTTAACTCCACAAGACATAGCAACTAATGAA